GGGGGGCCTGGGTGTCAATAACCAACGGGTGTCCATAACGGGGGGGGGGGGGAATGCGGCCGGGTGTCGATAACCAAGGATGGGGTGTCAATAATGGAGGGCGTGGGCCTTGGTGTCAATAACGGGGGGGCATGGGGATAGAGAAAACAAGGTGTCAGTAATTGGCGATAGGGGGTCTGGGTGTCAGTAATAGGGCCTAGAGTGGCTAGAATGAAGGGGTGTCAATAACAGTGGGGGGGTGGGTGTTGTGGTGGGGCACCGTCGTCAATAACGGGAGGCAGGGGGAGAGAAAACAAGGTGTCAATACCCGAGGCCTGTGTGTCAATAACCAAGGGGCATGGGGTGTCAGTAACAGGGTCCGGGTGTCAATAACCAAGGGGCATGGGGTGTCAGTAACAGGAGGGCATGAGTTTCACTAACAGGGCTGGTGTGTGGGGGTGGTGGGTGGCAGGTGGCAGAGTGCCGGTGATGGCGGGGCCGGGCTGTCAATAAAAAGCTGTCATTGTTGGGGTGGGGAATTGCTGACAGGTATCTGACAGTAGGGCTGGCACTAATAGGGTGTTAATAACAGGCTAACTGTTGGGTTTTCAGTACGTGGGCCCCTGGTTGCTGGCGGATGTTGCTGACAGGGGTGGGGGGTGTCAGTAACCATGAGGATTAATGATGTTCTGAGTGTCGCTCGTTGGTAATGGGGTGGAGGTTTGGGTGGGGTGGGGCCTTGATAATGGGGTGCAGCTTTCTGTAGGTGGGGGGGGTCTAACATTCCTACTTAAAAGGCTACAGACCCCAGGGTGGTGACAGAAGGTGGTACACCATGGTGCTTTTAACTTTGCTGTACACACACAGTGGGGTTTTCATCAAGTGCAGAGCCTTAGCATGTGTGAACAAACCCTGGCTAGCGTACTGGGGGAGGGTAATATAGGGCTAACTGCAGGCTGGGAACGATGAGGAGTTCAGGCTGGTTTAATCAGCGGAAGGGGCTGGGTTGGCAAACTGGGTTAGCTATGATCTGTCGGCCGGAGGCTCATTCAGTCACGCAAAACACAGCCAAGAATTTGCCATCTTCCTTATTTTAAAACAAGAACAGACCTGCATACGCAGTGTCTGACAGACTGAGGGTATTCGGATATGTTTTAAAGGCGACATTGAAGGCACAGGAGCAGGCTAAGGGGCTGTCGTGAGGCAGTGATGGACTTCCTAACAAAAGGCAACATGTGAGCGGGACAGACTGCACTGTTCCAGCACAGAGTTGGAATGGACGTGCCTGACATATTACCAAGAGACACGACCAATTCCCACTGGTCTCAACACATGCTAACAAAGGAGGACGCAAATTCGACTGGGACAACACATCCATAATCGCCGAGCAGAGAGACATGCCAGTGAATTCCAGGAGGCCTGGCATTCCAACCGGAACTGCATCAACAAACACACTGAACTGGACCCGATATACAAAGCACTGAGAAACTGAACCAGAAGTGATGCCAACCACCCCAGCAAACAAGGCATATGAATAACAAGCTTCACTGGAGGCGCACTGATGATGTTACCTAGCAGGGTGACCAAACGTCTTGAACCAAACCCACCGGCTCGCTGGGCTGTCTACAACATCGGAGATGAAGCTGTCGGATCTAAAACCTATGTTCTTACCTAGTGCACCTTTGGTTATCGAGAGCTGCCGAGAAGCAGGGTTCAGGACTACAGCTGCCATCCGAAGATACTGTTATTGTATTTCTCGTTTTGTGTCTCCTTGCCTTGTCTCCCTGGTTGTGAAGAGATGCTGCTATTTTAACCTCCCCTTGGATCTTCAGTTACTGCAGTGTTAGCGCTGTCAGCCCAGAATGTGAGGTCCCCTCACCGCCGTCCCTGTGTTGGTCCTTGCGTTCCCCGGTTTTGTAACCGCAGTCGTGGGTGTGGAGATAATGGACATGCTGTCCCACTGAACATGTGGGCCTGTTTTGACCTTTCCTCCTCTGTGCCCACCTGTACCAGCCTGTCACCTTCCTGTTCCAATGCTTGCACCCCACCAATCGTCTGCCCGGGGCCAGTCAAATCCTGCCAGGGCGCGTCCCTTCTCCCAATGGTAGCAGTCCTGGGGTGTAGCGCGGCTATTCATCCTCTTGTCTGCCATTGCAAATACTGTCACGTAAATCAGGGCCACGCCTAGTTATCTAACAGGCACGCACAAGTCTGGCCGACACCAGTAATCGGTCACAGTGACTGCGGAAGGAAAGATATACTCGTTTCTTTAGGCTGGAAGCTGCTTTTACTGCAGAGAACAGAGAGCTGCTGGAGGTCTGAAGGCTTCTGTCTCTCTCGTCTGTAACCCTAAGCTCTTCAGCCTCCTGACAATCTGACCTATTTTCTAGCATTTGGTCCCTATCCCTCTTAAACCTTTCCTATTCACACATCCGTCCTTTTAAATGTTGTCATTGTACCAGCCTCCTCCTCTTCCTCTGGCAGCTCGTTCCATACACACACCACCCTTCGATCCCTTTTAAATCTTTCCTCTCTCGCCTTAAACCTCTGCTCTTCTAGTTTTTGACTCCCCTCCCCTGGGGGAAAAGACCTTGACTGTTCACCCTGTCCATGCCCTTCATGATTTTATAAACCTCCATAAGGTCACCCCTCAGCCTCCAATACTCCAGGGAAAATAGCCCCAGCCTATCCAGCCTCTCCCTATGGCTCAAACCCTCCAACCCTGGCAACATCCTTGTCAATCTCTTCTGCATCTCCTCGAGTTTAACAACACGTTTCCTATAGCAGGGAGAAAAGAATTGAACGCAGTATTCCAGAAGTGGCCGAACCGATGTCCTGTACAGCCGCAACATGACCACCCAACTCCTATGCTCAATGCACTGACCAATTCCTCGGCCACACATTCATCTGCTCTATCCTCCCCTTCCTATTCCCACAAGCACATGGCACTGGGAGTAATCCAGATATTGCTACCCTCGGGGACCTACTTTTTAAACCTCCTGCCTCATTTCCTATATTCTCTCTCATCCCTACCTGTGTTGTTGCTACCAGTGTGCACAACAAGCTCCTGCTGGTCCCTCTCCCCTTTGAGAATATTCTGCCCCCTGTCCAAGACATCCTTGTTTCTGGCTTAAGGGAGGCAGCATGCCATCCTGATGTCTCGCTGCCGGCCATGGAAACATCCGTCTGTGCCCCCAGACTGGACATTGCCCTGTTTCAATCGGTATCTTGGAACCTGATGTACCCCTGGTTACATTGGAGCCTGTCTCAGTGCCACAGTCCCCTGAGAGGCCACTCCACCCACTGTATACAAATTTTGGGATTGGGTTTGGGACTCCTGCCTATCTTTCCTAGGGGCCACGCATCTCCCTGACTGTATCTATGGTGTCAACACCTTCCTGAAACAGCTATCCATCACACCCCTTGGATCTTGTAAACTTCTTGATGCCTCTAACTGCAGCTCTGACCAATCCACGCCTTCCCGTAGCATTCGCAACAAAACACACTTCCAGCTGACATGGTGTCCAGGGACATTCAAACTCTCCCTGGTCTCCTTGGTTTGAGCCGCTGGCCGTTGGAAGGTCTTTGTTCGCCAATAATTGATCACTGGCCCACTGACCATTTGAGCACTAACCACAGCTCCGTCTGCACACATGCCCCCCCCCACCCCCAGGCCACCAGTTGGTCTGCGAACTACACTTAGCTGTGTGAACAGCGCTGACGCTGAGGGTCAGCTCACTCGTCTCTACGACACGCAGCAACGCGTGTGTTTGTAAACCAGCTGCCTTCTCGGTCCAGTTTGCCTTTGGGAGTAAAACCGATCTTTAGGAAACGGAGCAGTGATGCCACTACTCCGGTAATGCAGCATCACTTCCCGCTACGCCCAGTTCGAACTCACTCGATAAGAATCCGGATTTCAGACAGAACGGTGGTGCAAGGTTGTTTCTCAGACCGGAAACCAGCACCATTCTCGGGAATTGGTACTAGATCTGCTTTTGTTTGTCATTTTATAAATAGGCACAGTCAGTCAGTTTGCAGATGACACCCAGATTGGTGGGACAGTGGTCAGTGAAGAAGGCTCTCTAAGATTACAAAGGGATCTTGATCGATTGGGTCAGTGGGCCGAGGAGCAGCAGATGGAGTTTAATTTGGATAAAAGTGAAGTGTTGCATTTCGGTAAAACAAACAAGGGGCAGGACCTATGCAGTTTAAAAATAGGGCCTTGGGTGGTGTTGCAGAACCCAGGGACCTACGGGTTCAGCTATGTAGTTCTTTGAACCATGTGTGGACAGTGTGGTTAAGAAAGCGTTTGGCACACTTGCCTTCATCGCTCAGACCTTTGAGTTTAAGAGTTGGGGACGTCATGTTGAGGTTGTACAGGAGGTTGGTGAGGCCTCTTCTGGAGCACTGTGTCCAGTTCTGGTTGCCTTGTTACAGGAAGGATATTATTAAACTGGTGAGGGTTTGGGAGGGATTTGCCAGGAATGGAGATTTTGAGTTATAAGGGGAGGCTGGATAAGCTGGGACTTCTCTCACTGGAGCACAGGAGGTTGAGGGGGGACCTTAGAGGTTTATAAAATCATGAGGGGTGTAGATAAGGTGAATAGTAAAGGTCTTTTCTCTAGGGTGGGGAGTTCAAGACTAGGGGGCATATTTTTAAGATGAGGGGAAAGATTTTAAAAAAGAAATGAGGGGCAACTTTTTTTAAAACACGGAGGGTGGTTTGTGTGTGGAATGAACTTCGTGAGGAAGTGTTGGATGTGGGTACAGTTACAACGTTTAGAAGACATTTGGATAAGTACGTGAATGGGAAAGGTTTGGAAGGATGTGGGCGAGGAGCAGGCAGGTGAGACCAGTTTAGTTTGGGACTATGGTCAGCACGGACTGGTTGGGCCGAAGGGTCTGCATCCACGTTGTATGACTGTAGCTCTGGTGATCGTAACAGTATCACTCTCATCGATGTTAAAACAAAACCAATGTGGTTCACTAACATTCTGTTATCGGTTAAAAATTACCCTTCGTTACCCCATCTGGGCCCAGACATGACTCCAGGCCCCACTTGCCTCTAAACTGCTCTCCACTAATCCTCCGCCCCAACCCAGTCGTAGTGAGATAATGGATAACAAGTGTGGGAATTGCTAACTCCTTCCTGTAGTGGTTTCCCCTCCATTAATCATCCAGCCCCCTTAGGTAGGCTGTTGTTGTACCTTTATCCAGCACTGTGTTCGGGGAGCTCGTTCCAAATCCTCATCTCGCATGTGAGGTTTACCCTGTTACTGCCTCAGTGACCCCTCCAGAAGGAGGGGATGAGCTGCCTTCCTGAACCCGCTGCAGTCCCCGTGTGCCCCCATTAGGGAGGGAGTCCCAGGATTCTGACCCCAGCGACACTGAGGGAACGGCCCATGTTGTTCCCGTTCAGGATGGTGTAGGGAGCTCGGAGGGGAATCCACAGGGAGGGTGAGGTGGTTGGGGTTGGGGGCGGGTAGAGGTGTTGGGTTGGGAAGGTGCTGTCGGAGGAACCTCGGCGGGTCGCTGCATTACATTTTATGGTCGGTACGTACTCCTGCTGCAGTGTGTCGGTTCTGGAGAAAGGGGGTGTTCAAGGTGGGGGGAGAGGAGTAGCGAGTTGATCAAGCGGGGGGCTGCTTTGTCTTGGGTGATGTCGAAATTCTTGAGTGTTTTTGGAACCTCACCCATCCAGGCAAGTGGGGAGTATTTTATCTCACTCCTGACTTGTGGCTTATGGAAAGGAGATGGATATGGCTTACTCAACGACAGACCTGTCCCCCACTGGTACCGTGCCCCAGTGTTATACAGCGACAGACTGTTCCCACCGGTACTGTACCCCAGTGTTATACAGCGACAGACCCGTCCCCCACCGGTACTGTACCCCAGTGTTATACAGCGACAGACCCGTCCCCCACCGGTACTGTACCCCAGTGTTATACAG